GCTGAAATTTTAGGGTAATGACCCCCTGCCCACGCTCAACCTTGCCTCTGAAAATCATTAACAGGCAATCGTTCGATGTGCTCAATTGCAAAAACGCATGATCGCAGCGGCTAGTCTGGTGCGCGTTGCTATTTATTTCTTCAAAAATGCTTCCTTTACTCCAGTACCTTATTCCTACTTCGATCTCATTTTTGTGCGTTTTTGCATTTTTTGCAAATGCGCTAGGGAGCGATGAGCATCAGGGCGGCCGATGCGATCATGCTTTTGTGTGATACAGACAATTTCTCTACAGGATGGCATGTTCGCACTGGTAAGCCTGGTGTGTTACCGTCTAGGTTTAATCTTCGAAATAAGCATATTTATCATTTAATTGCACTATTAGTTTCAATCAGGGCAGCAGAAATTACGCATAACACGAAGCCATATTGCATTTGAATGTTTAGTGTCATTTTTTTTTTCTTCGTAAATATTGGTCAAACATCTCCATTAAATGCAGTCATTATTTCTGCAGCCGCTAAAACCACTCTTTACTTCTCACAAAGAATTTTGTTTAGAGTACCGCTGAATGCCGCCGGGCGGATCCAACATCTATCGTTGTTTTACATCAGGCCGATCTCGGAGAATACATTCGTAAGGAGGCTGCACTTACCTGACGTATCTTTTTACCGGTTGTAATTACTTATTGTTGTTGTTATCCGTTCAGGAATATACAAGTATAAAAGAAACATAAGACGTACAAAAGGAATACTCAGCAAAAGGAATCAAAATAGGTGGCTAGAAAAAGAAATAGATGGAAAGAGAAACATGTATGGAAATAAGAGATTGTCAGCTGTATAAATGGCATATTACCCGTCTTTTCACACAATATGATATTTACAATTGTTAAAAAGAGAGAAAGGGAGATTCTCCACACAGATTGCCCAGCCAGTTCTGGTATTACAATATCTCATCATAGCGATCAAGCTTAAATGAATTTACAGATATAAACGCTGTTGGTATAAAAAAAAAAAAAAAAAAAGCAGAATCAACAGGATATATTTCGGACTGGTCAAAGTTCTGCAAAAAAGCCATAACTGTGGTAAAAAGACTAAAAATAAATTTCAGGGTGTTAAATTTGGACATAAAATTATCCAGATGGAAATAAAGGCAAAGAAAGGGAAAAGCGTAGTTTCATCAGTGAGATACTTTCATTCTCATAAGGATGGCACACGTATAAAGGAGGTTGTTAGCAAAACACTCACTGGTCACACTCCACCGAAGAATTTTGCCATGTTGGCACTCGCTCCTTTGGATATGCCGGGAACATTCTCGGACAGAGCTGTTGCCCGTTGTTCCTTTGGAAGAGACGAATACAGACGTGTCAGTGATGCGAACGATGGAAAGCGATCGGTGACCAGCGATGCTTTCTGAATACTCATTTGCGGGCACACCAGAAGTTGGCGCAAAAATATGTCTTTCACGGAGCGGCGCTGTGTTTTTTTGGACTGCTTTTGGAAATCCTCAAAGCTCATCCCGACCAGCTGAAAATAGCCCATTGTTGTTTGTTTTTTAATAGAAAATTCTAGTGCTAACAATAAAATTAAACGAACCTCCTGTTCGTGAGCCCTCCTGATCAATCGTTCCGTTATTTTTGACAATAAAAGTGAAGTTTGTTCCATGTTACTCGTGCGATAAACCAGGAATCTGCAATTTTTCGCATTGATCGGGTGTGTATTTTTACAGAAAACAGCTCTGCACCAATACGACTACAGATTTTTGTGGTCATTTATGCGGAGTACCAATCGTTTATGCGCCACCTTTATGCATCACTTTAACACATTATTTGCTGCTGATATATAGTGTTCAGAAAGCAAGCTTTTTTATCAATAACTTGCACCATTTACTACCAAGCGTTTAGTCGTGCCGGGCAAAGGTATGAAAATTAATTCCGGCCTGTCCTTATGCACTCAGCTGGGGGGACCCGGCTTGCTTTAATCTGAATTTACAGAACTGACCGAAATTTGGAGCGAATTCATATACTAATTTGCGGTGGATGAGTCTGAGGCAGCATTTTAGATCTGTCTGCCCATCATTATCCGGCGGGTGTTATCGAATAAAATTTCCAGTTTGTTGTTTTCTTCATTTTTATGAAAAAAAAGCTAAACGCAGTAAACGAATGCAGTGGGTCGACTTTTGTTATGCAGTCTGACGGACAATCACAAATCATGTTTTTGAAGTATAAGTGTTCTGGAACTGATAGTCCTAGAACAGATTTAGCCTGACATGATTTCGTCTCAGTGCAGTTTCATCTGCATAAGTGGGAATGAAAAAAAGAATGAATCGGGGTGAGAATTACCGGTTTTCGATATGAGTAGTGACAAGTGCCTGCTCGACTGCAGCCTCAGCAGGCGCAGTGCTTCCCTCCACAATGTACACAACATTTGGAATGCCGATTGTCATCAAGCGCTGTTTCTGCTCATCGTACCTGCGAATGACAGTCACTGTGCTTCAGTATGAAAAAACATTCAATCAAGGAATTGCCCCCTACAAAAACCTTTGTGTCTCCCCGTGCTTAGCCTGTTGTTTATTCCCCCTCCCTCCAGTCAAAAAATGTCAAGACCGTTCGGCCAAGCAAAATAAATCACGAAAATCAGCAAAAGTAGGAACCTTTTCTGCTTAATACTGTGCCACAGATCATCAAATGTTTTGCGTTCGACAATATAGTCCAGTACCATTTCGGTGCCATCAGGCATGCGCATTATCCATAAATAATCACCAACTGATAAAGACCGCAATTCGTAATAGATGTCCTACAAATTCAACATTAACCCCTTCGATAATTCACGGTCTGAAAGGACTGAATGGCACTGCCAAAATCGGCGGCTTACAAAGCAACCATTTATTCCCATTGTCAGATTTAGTTCAGCAAGAAGCAGGATATGGTGTGATTAATAATCCTAAAACTATTAATGCCGAAATCTTATCTTTTGGCTTACAAATTCTTTAAAAGTATGTCAGACCGGAAATCCTGGCTGGTGATGCATTATTCCAATTACACATGCCTCTCGCTCAAGTAGGCATGCTGTAGCCTTTCGTGATGAAAAAAAAAAAAAAAAAACTACTTTTTTCCAGATAAGATTTTCTTTTATTGCAACAGCTACTTCAGGCACCAAAAAGGCAATTCCTTAGTCAACAGGAGTTTCAAATGAACGTTTTTTACTTGGAAGGCATGAGGATGAGAGCACTCCAAACGATTTCCGGCAACGTTACCGTTCCCTGTTCCCGTATGATAGAAGAAGCCGTACTACAGCAACTACCGCTGTAGAACAGCTTTTCCTTCCATGCTGATACCACAGAAACGAAGACGCAGCTTGGAAAAAGCCATGCGATGCTAAACGTTAAACCAAATAAATGAGCAAAAAATACTAAATTTTGTGCGAAAAAGCCAGAAAATTTTAAAAGTAAAATACACAAGCAAAGAAAAATATGCTGAGAAGTTTCCGTTATTACGTTATAGCTAGCACATCTCTGTGCCTATACGATTAGTTAAAAACAGTAGCAAAAGTGAAATGCAGACTATGCTTACCGCTGACCTTTTTTTGGAATACGCTGCACATTTGCCTAAACTTTTTCGTATTGCCAGTTTCCCGATTATCAACGATCAGAAGCACCTGAAAATCGTCTTTTTTAGATAGAAAGTGCCGAGTTTTAGATTTGAGCAAATTGTGCTTTATTGATTATCTAAATCAACACAAAACAAGTAAATATTAACCAAAAATCGGGAGCAAAAGTTGAACTGACCTGAGGACGAGCAAGTGCTGAGGGGCTATGGTAAAGCAGGCTGCTTTCATTGCTCTCCGTTACAGCATCAATTTGATCAGGAGAATCATCGATATCAGCAAAAATCTCGTTAATCATGTCATCAACACTTGCTGCAGCAAGTCGCGGGCCCAAATCTTCTTTACTACAGCGCTGTTCGCTTGATAGTACCGACAATGCTGCATCTGGCGCCGTTGTTTTCTTCGGTGACTGTGAGAGATGCGTTCTTTTCGGAGGGCGTTTCCGCTTGGTAATCCAGTACTGGCCACTTTCAGCTGGCTGATCATCGGTGTCCTGTAATTCGCCAATTGCTGGCAATGGTCTTGTGGCTGTGGTGATGCGTGGTCCAGATCTGTGCTCCAGGAAGTTTGCTGAAGTGATGAATTGCATGAAGTCACCTGTTTTCAACTGATCAATCTGCTTCACCGTTGGTAGCACCGGATTCTGTGAGCAGAACACTTCCCAGGCACCTTCCAATTTTCGCGCAATATGATCACCAATGCCTGAAATGTACTGCATGGTTGTTTGCTTCAATTTATACTTTCAAAGCAGTGATTATACTCTACCCCGCTAATAAGGATGTATTTACTGTGAAATTACAGATGTACTAGCTTTCGTAGACTAATGATAAGTAAATGGGCGTAAGGTCTGAAGATGACACTGCTTACTGTGCAGTTCTACTTACAGAGGGTAAATAAGGATTCATGCACCACGTGCAAAGTTGGTCTCAGTTTGCTGAGGCCACAATTCCTGATACGGTAAGATGGAAGGTTAATATTCGTGATCTGAGCCAAAGCAACAAGAAACCCAGACCGGAATGCACTAGGCTTGCCAGCGCGATCATATGTTTTTGCACACGGCTTGAAGTACTCAGGTCATTAACTACATGACTGATTGCTGCCCATCTTGTGAGCTCACTAGCGTAAATCATCGTAAACTTCGCATAAAGAAAATGAACAATTTCCGTCTAACAATCGTCCTTTGAAATGACGTAGCTGTTAAGCAAGCAATTTCCTGCCAAAAATTAAAGTGCCCGTATGTAAGAACCATGCATACCTGTACGCTGAATTTGAGATCTTTAAGTTGTACTTGAACAGGGAACATTACCATAATACTGCAGCTTTCCAGCTTTTCTGGCTCCCCAGATATTCCCGCCAAAAATTTAAGTGACCACAGATTAAAGCCATACATACCTGAGGGCTGAGTTTGAAATATTTAAGTTGCACTTGGACAGAGAACGTTTCCCTAAAATTTCAACTTTCTAGCTTCTTTAGTTCCCGAGTAATTTTCCAGTCAAGACTTTCACACGCCTGTAGGTGGGTACTCCAGGCACTTGGGGAGCTGAATTTGAAATCTTTAAATTGCACGTGGACAGACAGCATATACCTAAAATTTCAGACTTCCAGCTTTTCTGGTTACCGAATTAACAGTTTTCAAGTCAAATCTTTCACGTGCTCATGCGTAAGAACTACGTCTACCTGAAGGTTGAATTTAAAATATTTAAGTTGTACTTGGACAGGGACCATTCCCTCAAAATTCCAGCTTTCTAGCTTTTCTAGCTCTCGAGTTAGTAATTTTCCCGCCAAAACTTTCGCCCTTACGTGATTACCACGCACACCTGGAGGCTGAATTTGAAATCTTTAGCTCACACATGCACAGGGAATATCCCTGCAAAGTTTCAGTCCCTTACCTTGTTTGATTCCTGAGACTGCTTTCTCGCCAAAAAATTTGCATATTTCTTTAAGACGCCCGTGCGCGGCAACCAGGCGTAGGCGGATGATGATATAAAAAACGGAGGGTCGCGCATAGTGTAGACACATCCAAAGTTTTAGCCTTCTAGTTTTTCTGATTCTAAAGTGGGTGACAAGTGGGTGACAAAGTGAGTGACAAAAAGTGCGAACACACAAACACACACAGACAGCCATTTGCCAATATGCGTTTTTGCAATTTGCATATATGCAAGAACGCATAAGTCTCCACAATTTCAGCTTTCTAACACGGTTTGGTCAGGAAAATCATGGATACAGATGTTTATTTTTTTAATATGTTGGAGAAATCCCTGGAATTCCTCGGAACAGCAAACTTCCCCCCAATGCAGTAAGCCGTAAGTGAAAGCTTATCTCCCTCTTTTCGACCTATCATCACTTTAACATATCTCATTCAAACAAAAGCAATAAAAAAAAAGACTTGCCTTTAACATTTTTCAGATCAGTGAATGTGGCCAAATCGAGTGGATAAGCTCTCAGATTGGCCAAAGCTCGCGACAAAACTGATCGAAAATTGCGGTCATCCACGCTCTCCTTCCAATCCATCAACACTCGCTCGTAAAACCTGTTTCTCGGAAAGGTACGCCGGATTTTCACCTGCTTTTGCTTCTGCTGCATTGCCATCTCTGAAACCTTCGACTGAATCAAATGTACATTCCTTCAGCGTAATTTGGTGTCTGTTTAAAAATATGGCTGATTTCGAAGTTGACATCCTTAGCAGAAAAGAGGACACGATTCACTTCGCATCCTGAGAGCAGCTGGGTGGCAACTGTACCAAAAGTCGGCTCGGCCCTGCTCTGCTCGACCAGGTGGGAAGGTGAGTTGCTATGACTGGAAGTTGGGGAGTAGAGCGCTAAAGTCGAAGAAGGACAGGGGGTGAAGGCGAAGGACAGTGCTGCAAATTTTGAGGGCCGGAACAGAGTGGGG